GCACTCCGATTGGCATCATTGGGAAGGGCCGTCTTGGCAACGCTCTAGTCCATGGTTCGTCACTTTCTCTTGAAGGGATCATGACTGTAAACGTGCAGTAGCCGCGCCTCAATACCCCATCTTCTCTCAGAAATCTTTTTTCTCGGTAGAGGTTTGGAACAAGTGTTCATCATGATCGATACCCTGTGTTACCCCCTGACCCCCTAACCTATAACTGCAGTTAGAAAGAGATAAACAATTAAAACAGTTTGTCAATCATAACCTAGTAATATCCTGAATGGCATGCGCTGTCGATTATCACGCGCGTAGTCGGTCAATTCCCGGATCGGTCCCTGACCGAGCAAGCAAAGCCCTTCATTCTTCTGGTGCATGGTTCCCGACTTGCCCAGGAGTACGAAAGCACTAGAGTGCGCATCAGCTGTCCCCGCAACATATTGTATGTATAAGCCGCATCGCTTCCCATAGTAACTACGATTTTGAGGATGACCGGAAATCTGGGGAGCGATCGATCTATAGGCTTTGCTCTGTATTCCTTTCCAGGTTTAATTTGATATACCATTTGACAAAATTATTGGACAGTAATTGAATCAGTAACTGGATAATTAACGAACATTAGATTCCAGTTCAGTGATCTTCCCTCGTAGCACGTCGAGTTCTTCACGTACTGCAAACATTAGATGCGTCTTGACGAGGTCCTAAATCAGTTCGCTCGTTACTTGTTCAAAATCACGATAAATAATACCGTTACATTACAAAAGAAGCGCTGGCTATGTTTTTCTCATGATTTGACACTTTAGACTGTTCTCAATATGTGACTGAAGGCAAAGTTCAGCCGCGTCACTGAACACTAAGACCAACGTGATACATAGCACTTGAGACACATGATGGTGAAAACGCCATCAAAAAGAACGAGAAATGAATTCTAAATAAAGATTCAACTGGTTATGGGTGAAAAGTTGGGATAAGTTGACATCGCTGACGATAAAGGTCACATTTCTGCACTAAAACGATTACCGTCCCCTTTCTTGCACTGTAACGACGCTACACTTTTCAAGATTTGCAGTTGTAGGGCAAGTTCTTCCGATAGTTTTCGGGCAGGCTACGCGAGTAGACGCAATTTTGCACAGAAAACTATCCGGGAAGGGAAAGCATAGAGCAAGACCTTTCAAATCAGTGCTAATCAGCGAGGGGCGTAACACGACATGTTGAGGTTACTGTTAAGGACAGCTCATAGTTAGCGGAGGGATCGGAGGACCCATATTTTGGCGTGGGTCTGTGGCTACTGGGGAAACTACTTACAAGACTACTCGGTATAAAAATACTCGACTGCCGCCTTGATCTCCGTCAAATTACACATAAAGGCAGACTCGCCTGTAGGGTGGGCAAGGGATAGTCTGGGAGCACCGTAGCCAGGGCGCCCGTCAGGGAAATGTTTGTTAAATACGACCCCCCCCCTCCCCCTCAAATTTCACCGCTTTCGGCACGACCCCTCGGATTTCCCACTTCTGATACGACCCTCACTCCCCTATCCGCCATCGTATGTACCTACCATCCTCCTGAATTCTCCCGTTTGTTCCACTCTTCCCAAGTTTTTTTCTCAGAGCTTTTCAAATCCTTTCCTCAAAAAACCGCCGTCGAGGGAGTCAGAAGGAGGAGTGGGGGTGGGTGCAATGCACGAAATGGGAAAAAACATAGGAAAACCATTTACGGAAAATCTTCTCCTCCTTTTCCCCAAGGGCTAATAGGATCCCACTCCCCCAACGACCGAGCACCGAGCACGCCCCCCCCCCCTCATCCTTCCTCTGGAGCTCCAGCGTACGGCCTCCCCTGACTGGGGCACCCGCTTCCTATGCTGGGAAGTTTCCATTAAATCTGTGGACTTCCTCGTACTCCCATAGGCGATTTTCTTTGATTTTTCAACTAGAGTTCTCTGTTTTACACGGCGGGTCATATACGTTGCTTTCCATGCAATGGTAGGGGGTAGCCTTCTCCGAGGAAAAAGACCAAAACTGAACGGAGGCAGTTTTAGCCCGGTGTTGCAAAGACGGGAATTGACCGAAAGCAGTTTCGAACCAAGTTGAACCCTTTTTTCACTTACTACCCACAGGAAAAACTCCAGAAAAGTACTACAACTAAAGTTAACGTACTGAGCAGTACTTACCATAGCTTGTTCGATCTTCGAGTCGATAGCTGACGTTGATGGCTGTCCCATACCGTTGTTGCTACCCACAGCGCTGTAATAGAACATTGTTCTGAAAGGCTCGACTTGTGGAGGGAGACAGTATTTGTCGCCGATCTTCTCTGTCTGTTATAGAATGTTATCACGTGACTGTCAGCGTTAAAAAAGGAAAGCGACAAGAGTGAAAATGACGAATCACTCAGATTCACACGGGGGAAAGCATCCGTAACTGGCGCGAGTAGTGTTACACACCTATGACTGCTGTCTACCGTATCATATACGACCACAAAGAACAAATTTAAATCATTTTGTACTCTGGCAGGATACTTTTAAGTGGCCTCAAAGAATTACACATAGAAAAAAAAACCCGGCATCGAAATAATTTTTGGATGCTGTACTGGTGATAATTATGGAAGGACAGAATTTTCAGCGCTGGTCAATGACCTTTTCAAAATGCGACAAGCATTCAGAGTAGGCGTGGCTGCATGCTTTATTGGTATATAGCGAAGAAATGCGTTTTTTCATAGAATCTTCCCATTCGAGACTGTTGTCATCCTGTCTTGGACAAACACGATTGTCCTAAAAAACCACATCGCACCAGATGCGCAGCCATCGCCACCTTCAAATGCGGTATTCTGTCACGCCCCTCTCATCACTGGGATATGAAGTGTACTTCCTTTCAAAATCGTAATGAGACGTGAAGGAGACTGACCGGTACAACGGCATGAGAAGGCGAATCTGTGTGTAGTCATGACCCCTGCAAACAACAGGGCGTGTGAAGAGGCGTGAGTTGGATCACAGCCAGAACCGCCTTTCCCGCCAACACAGAATGACGTCACTGATGCAGATGGTTACGTTGGCAGCGCTCCAATTCACGTCCTGTCACACGCCTTACCGTCGTTTGTGGGAATCATGACTGTACAACTTAGTGATTTCCATTGGGGTCTGGTACAAACCAAATGGCGCCGGAACGATGCAATACTTGGACAGCCTAGGTGTGATACGATCCAGATCGGAACTTCGAACCATACTCGCGAAAGGTTGCACCAGTTACCATTCCACAGCCTCCTCCACTTCTCACTGACGAAAGTCCAGGACTTTAGCTCTTATGTATAGCAATGGTGATCGGTTAGTGACCGATCAGGAAGAAAACTAGTGGTGAGAACGGGCAAGCTTAGTTCGTTTCTCTTGGCACCGCCCCGACGATTTCGACGATATCGACTGTAGTCAGGAACCATTACGTCCTTCAGAACTGGGTGAACTCTTCGTTATTCCAAGCTGATGTTGATCAATTAACTCGCACGCAACGATGGCGTACTACCGTACCCGGTCGCCTAGACAGTTATAGAAGAAGCGAGAGCAGTTTGCCTTTTAGGATGAACCTCAACGGTCCCCACCGAACTGCAGACATGAGAGCTACTGTGGAGCAACGGAATTCTACCCAGCTACCATTTCGTATCTTCGCAGGAACTCATAGAAACTTGTGAACTACCAAAATGCCGCCCTTCTCACATCCCCCTCCCCTCTAAACGGAGCTGCTTCAGGAATTGCAGGGATTCGATCTCACTGAAGTGTGCCTGAGGGGCGGATCGGTCCTCTCCATCTCCCCCTCCCGCATAGGGTAGTAAACCAACCCTCTTTTGCGGATTGCCATGCATTCTACTCCAACGCAGAATCACTTTTTGAAGTGCTTATCTGAGGACACTGGGGGGGGGGCTTCCTAGAGCCGGCTACTCATTCTTGGTCCCTCCTCTCTTATGCACACGCCTCTGACTCTCTTCCGTCTCAACCCCCCCCCCCCTCCGAAGTCAGCTAGTTATTTACCGCTTTGCTTCTTCAAGACGGGGGAGTCGAGTCACCGACCAACCGACCGAGAGGGGTGAAGGCTTGAGTGGCCATAGTGAGATCCTGGATGATAACAGTGCTCTTTTCAAGACCCACAACTCGGAGCTCTACCCACTCCGACACAGCTAAAAAACAGTCTACGTGCGTTAAGCAGACGTCCACCCCGTGAACAGTTGCGCCCAGTTTCTTCTTTCGGCCATTGTCGTGCAGAAGTTACCCAAAAGTGGGAACGAGTTGTATTCTAAAGTGATAGATATTCAGAGAAAGAACGCATTTTTCAGATTCTCGGCATGTCATGTGATGATTGATGTCAAAACAAGATGAACAGTTCAATGGACGCTCTATAATCACCAATCACTCACCTTGTCAGTAAATCGCTTCGCTTTGTTGAATTGACTCGGCTTCTTGGTTTGTGTGGAGCCAGCGAACTCTCGAGACCTTGCTGAAGTCGTTCATCTGTTGCCTTTCGGACGGGTCGGTTAGTACCTTAAAGGGAAGCCATCAGAGCGGGAGGGAGAACAAATGGTCTAAAACATTCAGGAACCTGAAACGGGACCAAAGCACTAGGGTGGGCACCGCGCCAGCCCGTTCCCATCGCTATCCTTGATGCTTCGGGCGTTAAGAGAGTGGTGGCAAAGGTTGGCGCCGCGCTAAAGTCCCGAAACTCCCCTGACTTCAGTGGTATCGACTGTAAAAAAAAATATGGGGCGCCAGTGCAGTACAGTCGTCATCCGGGCAGTTGATAAGGCGGTCAGAGGGTCGCAGACAACCGCGGCGATTAGCTGTTTCCAGCCTATTTAGCCATTTCCTCCCAATTTCACTGTTTTTGGCTGCTTTTCTTGAGGTTATTTGTTCCTTGTCTTCACAATGTGAATTGTGATTGGGATTTCTCTAATTTTGCGGACTATTAAATAATTAAACAAACGATTAAACAAATACCTAACAAAGTTGCAAAAACACTTCATTACAAAAACAAAAAGGAAGATTCCCGTTCTTAGTAGATCCACGTTCTAATATACTTCATAAAGACAAAAACAACTTACCTGAAAAAAATAAATAATACAGTGAAAATTAGGGAGAAAATGGCTAAATAGGCTGGAAACAGCTGATCGCGGTCGTGACGCGCCGCAGCCGCGTCTGCGACCCTTTGACCGCCTAATCAACTGCCCGGATGACGGCTGTACACCAAAACAACCAGTGAAGAAATCCAAGAAATTCTCACAACCCAAATCCACCCTCTCCCCCGCCCGCATCCCTACCCCCTCCTCCTTCTGCTGAGGAATTCCCAACGGCAATGTACTTCAAGTGCAACGCTCAAAAACGATATGGGGATCACTTTCCATGAACTATTGATTTATGGGAATTCGTGAACAGCTGTTGGGATGCAAGGGTTTTTTCGAGTTTTCAGCTCACGTGCATTTCGCTTTACCATCTTTTTCTACCTCTTTCTTCATGAAGATTCATCAAGTGGGCCAGAATGCTCACCTTATTGATGTTTGTGCACACAAATGAGTGTATTGACAAATAATTGCGTACAGTAAACTAGTTAAAAGTTTTCCGAGTACCTTTTTTGTCGTTTACATTGGATGCGGCTTCATTTGGAGTGAAGTTAGAATCCGTATGCGGTGGAGCCGACGTCCTTGAAAACGCTGGTGTTGACTGAAAGAAAACCAATTTTTGAGTAATTACTTTGAAGTGGATGGAATTTAGCCGACAGATTTCAGTTTCCAGAACAAATGTCTCAATAGCTCCTCCTCCAATAAGAACAGCCAAAAGTCCAAAGATATTACCACGTAACGGCGCTCACAGCCTTGGGGGGGGGAAGGACATCTATACTGTTCTTCCCTTGTGCGGATATAGAAATAACGTTGTAGAAAAAAGGGGACAAATCCTAAGGTGCCGAAGTGGCTCTGGGAGCGTAAACCGATTTCAAGTGCAGTAGTTGTGTTCAGATGACCTAATCCCAGTTTCGCACAGGGAGTCCTTTAAATGCCCCTCCAAAGTCTCAGCAATTTCGCAATTACAGCCTCTGTAGTAAGGTTCAGATACGAATATGAAGGAGCTGAAGGAGTCACTGTGAACCCTAGTTTTCGGAGTATAAGGCGCACCTGTATACACCATCCCGGGGATGAGGAGGGCGTGGTGGTGTACTTTATTCAAACATGGCGTTGGAGCGCTTTTTGTAAGATATTTCTATCTGAGACAGCTGCCACCTCCTCTTTTGCTGAGCAAAGACATGTTTGCATTTGTCCCAAAACGGCAATATACCAGCGAAAGCGCAGCCATTCCCCATGTCCAAATGAGGTATGTCGCCACGCCCACCCCTACTCTAGGATATAGGGTTTATATAGAGTACACATTCGCCTCGACGCGTTGTTTTTTTGTTGTGTTTTGTCTATGCGAGCGCTTGATTTCGAATAGTAAATGCTTCAAAGTAAAAAAGGGAAGCAACTGAAATGAGTTATGGAAAGATTAAATGGTCCGTTTCGTTAAGGAACCGCCTTATCTCATCTATACCGGGAGGCTCTTCAGTGAGGTGGGATAGACAGAATGAGTGAGGAGCGCTTGATTTCGAACAGTAAATGCTCTAAAGGCAGTTGTAAGATCAAACTATGCGAAGATACTAAGAAACTACCTTATTGCAAACTACTACATCAAAATTTGGAGCTTTTTTTGCTTCACTTGAATTTTTAGGCTGACCTATAACCCTTACCACGGATATGAGACCCATTAATTCAAAGGTAGTGTACAGGATTAACCACATATAGGGCATCATTTTTTGCCCCAGTGTTGAAAATGGACGCCATATTCGTGATCAGATACATTAAGCCACTAAATGTACCTTCATAGGAAAAGTAACGATCAGAAATCGGCACCAGGATAAATACAGCGCTGACGCTGCGAATGAATATTATGATTGCGTGAGAGTACCCAGTAACAAACAGAGATGAAAAGAGGGAGGTGCAAAAAGTGTTTTGAAAATGTATCCGATGATGTATCCGAATGTATCCGATGATCCGATGACTTAAACGTACAAATTATTTCGCACCATAAAAATATTTCATCAGCAAGCGATGGACAACACATTTTCAAGAAAGCAGTTGGTACACTTGCGTCTACCGAAGGAAGCTGGCAATGCACGCACACGCGGAATGGCAGTCAGCGGTAAGCGCATGCATAGCCGGCAATGCACGTGACTTTCGATGCGTAATTGTCGAGCATCG